CGGAGCTTCCGCGCACCCCCACACCGGCACCAGCTCCCCAGCCGGGCACCGCCGGGCACCGCCGAGGTGTCTCTCCTGCCGACCTGAAGACAGAGAGAGAGGGAAAGAACAGAATAGGTGAATGACCAGAAGAAAGCACCCAGAGAAACCCGTTGATAGTCCGAGATCCCATCCCAGAGGAAGCAGAGAAAGTAGCGTCTGGCACTCTGTGCAACGAACTGAAAAAGCCAAAGGCAGAAAACTCCGTGGTAGGTGCACAGTAATCAGACCCAGTAAAACTTTGTTTTTTTTTTTTTTTTCTTTTTTCTTTTTTTTTTTTTTAACCCCCGAATAGCAGATTATCTATCTGTTGTTCGTTCGTTCTTTCTATCTATCTATCTATCTATCTATCTATCTATCTATCTATCTATCTACCTACCTACCTACCTACCTACCTACCTACCTACCTACCTCAGATATTCCCTTCCAGAGCAAGTAATTACATAAAGAAAAAAAATGCTTATAGCTAAGAACGAACTGTTTAAAAAAATATCTAAATTATTCTGCCTAAATGAAACGGCAATAAAACCTAAAAGCTGTCTTCTTTTTGAAGCATCCAACACACTGGGAGCTGTGGTCGGGTTGGAAACCAGTGTCCTCAGCAAGAAAAAAAAAAACAACCAACCTATTCAAATTTATATGCAGTCATATAAAAAAATCCAGAAGGCAAATAAAAATAGTAATCCATACCTAAACCGAACAGAAGTAAAAATCACCAGTAAGGTTTGGGGGTATTTTGCACTGGAATAAGGCGCTGTGAGTTGTTGGCTGCAGAGACAGAAGGGCTCTGTGGAGTTCTGGAAGTGGCCAGATGTCTTTATATCTGTCTACAGCATGCTCTGCCTCTCAGCACTTGCCTTTATAATCTCACGCATAATTGGCCTTAATCTGATTATTTCCAGCGCTGTCTACAGTGAGTAACTTGGATAGGTCTATTGGGCCCTACAAATGGCCCACGTGGTGTGCAGAGCAGGGGAAAAAAAGGAGGAAAAAAAAAAAAAACCCAGATGAAAAGAAAAACCCCGTCATTTCTCAGCAAACACCAGGAATGTGAACCGCAGCAACAAAATCCCATTATTTTCTGAGCTGGTTATCAATCATTTGTGCTGCTGAGTTTACCATTTTTATATTCAGGTTTTGGGTGGTCATGGCTGATCATGATGTTCTGCTGAAAGAAGAAGGTAGGGCCAACACATGTAGGCATGTACGACTTCTCCTGGGAGGAAGGACAATCTGACAGTCTGACTGTCCCAAAAGAATTACGCCTGTACCCCGGCGCTGACAAAGCGCCGGCTAATTGCCGCCGGATGGGTTTTGGGGGGCCGCTCTGCACACGCCTTGCCTTTCCAAGCGATCGTACCGCGGCAAAGTTTGATTTTGTTCACAGCGAGGGGTCCCTGGATTTATGCTCGCTTCCCGTCTGCAAATGATATGCGGCGGGACCCTTTGCAATTACTTTTAAAATGCATCCGAGACACAGGCTCAGCGGAGAGAGATGGCCCTTGCCTCAGCCCGGGTGAAAATTAGACTTTAAAGTACCCAGATGAAATTTTCGAGTCAGGGACGCGGGATTGGATCAAATCACATAAACTGCAAAAAAAGCAAGTATAATGGCGCATAATTGGTTCTGTAATAGCATTACACAAGGATAATAGCCTGTTATGGCCCCCTGCACATTAAGTGCTTCCCTGGCGTAAAGCCTTTATGATATTAAAGGGGGAATATAATGATATTTTGGTTATTAAATGCGTGTAATTAATTTATGCACCACTGAAAATAAAGTTGGTATTATGACCCACTCAAGATGCATCAGAAGATGTAAGTCAGACAACTGTTGATAAGTTCTGGTGTCTATGTTTCGTCTAGACTGCTGATTTTATTTTGGAACAATTGCTTCTCCGGCAGACTACACAAATTTAATATTTTATAAACATTGTAATGTTCTGTGCAGGAAGGGCGAGCAAATCTACACAGGCTCTCTTAGATCTGATGGGAGTTTAAAGAAATAGCGCGTTCATACCGGAGCAAAGGAGATGGATGCAGACGATACAGGTGCAGAAATAGAGATTTTGAAGAGACGATGTCTTTGGGAAGTTATTCTGCATATATGATCTCATTAAATAAACACTAATAAGCCTGAGAAATATCATCTGCTCTATCTGCCTTTCACACTAGGCATAGATGTGGAAATTCCCCTAATGTATATTTATATTCAAGCTGAAGTTATGTTTCAGTCCCGTAAAGCATAATTTCAGCAAAGCCAGGCAAAAATTAATTGTACCTGAGATCCAGATTGATTTGGTCTGATCTTATCCACTCATTTATAATTTTAGCATACTAGTGATAGATTTAGAAAGCTGCATTCAAACATGTTTATATATATACGTGTATACACACACACACACACACATATAGATATATTTACATGTATACACATACATAAATGCTTTTAGGGATATCTCTGTTTGGCAACAGATACTGACTTACCATTCAGGCAAGTCTTTGAACAGCAAAGTGTACTATGAATTGAGGTGGCTTTTACAGCACCGTCCAAGACGCAAGACCAATGTTCTGAATCCGACTGCACTCCTTAAAATAGCAACGCAAGCTTTAGGTCAATTAACCTTAAAAAGAAGAACATAACCCAGAGGTGCTGCCTGGATCTCCCCCGCCAGCCTCTCCATCCCGAGCTTTAAAATCCACGCAGGACCAGTACTGCAGGAGCCCTTTGCGCAGAGAGAGATGTGCCTTTTCCTTTTCCTCTGACGTCGCGAAGAGAGTGAGAGCGAGAGAGAGTGTTTTATCATAAGAACCCCTAATAAAATAATAATAACTTCATTACGGCGCTCTCAGGCCTCGCTCTAGTCAGGGGGCTGCATTGCTGTGTCGGCTCCGAGACTCACTTTCCCCAGCAGTTTGAAGCCTGCAAGTTCAGCGTATTGCAGGAGGTGGAGGGGGTGAAATGGAGCACGGGGAAACGCTCCAAGTCGCTGCTTTTTAAATAGAAGCAGAAGGACCCTGAGCCGGGCGAGGCTGAACTTTCTCCCGGGGAGCAGCAGCTGCAAAACAAGGAGATAACTAAGCAATATATAATCCCCCACCCCTCGCCAGTTCCGTGCCTGTTTAATTTTAATGCACGAAACGTGGGGTTGACATAATTAAAAGTTAGCGCTTCGGAGTCTTGCGTGCCGTTCTCCGGCGGCCGGAGCCCGGCGGCGGCGGCG